AATAAAGATCTGCGAGTGCACGTACAGACAAAAAATGTTTATCAATTAATGGTCTATTTGATTAAAAGGTTGGAACATGAGTGATTATGTTGTTCAAGAATAATAGGAAAGATATAGAGAAAGAAGTTCGTAATTTTTTCAACGAAAATCGCTTGTAATTTGACGCCTGATGACGTCATCATGACGTCAGAGTATTATGCACCACTAGGGATGAGGGTCAACTTATGTTGAAAGTTACAAGTTCATACCATATACCGTTTAGGAGAAAACCCGCGGAGAAGTATTGTCCAGAAAAAAGAAAAAAGAAAGAAGATTTATGAGAACGATTCCAGACCGTGGTCGGGTTGTGCCCGACCACTCAAAGAAAGAAAGAAGGGGAGAAAGAAGATTTATCAGAGCAATTCTAAACAGTGTTCGGGTTGTGCCCGACCACTCGATAATAAGAAGGGGAAACGGAAATTAACGATTGAAGTATGAACTCATTAATTCAGTAATACCCTTGCGTGTCATGTGATTATCATCTGGCACTGACTAACAGCTTTTCGCGAACTGATTATCTCCTTTCCCATTGCGAATTGATACCGTAGGCCTACAGGTCGTGACAATGTGGGAAAAATGAATACTTTTAGACGACCTCGTTTCCATTATAAACATGAAACTTGTCCGTTTTGCCAAACAATTCTTAATAAGTATTATTGAGTTTACCTGGGTTGTTCGAGGACAAGTCTTGCATGTCTATCAGAGCCTTCTCCAACGTCTCCTTTGCTTCTGTGTCACTTGCCTGCCTTCTCCACCAGGTGCTTAGCATCTCAAAGCACTGCTTTACAACACTGCATGGGTAATCACGCCGAGTTGTTTCAATTTCTCCAGCTGTAAACGTCAATTGTTTTGCCAACACTTCCCAATTCACTCCAACCTCCTCAGATTTCTTATACAAGTCCATATCATAAGATCCTGCGAATAAATAGTTAAGGAGCATCATAAGTTATGGGCACCAGGGGCTGATCAGGCTTTTAGGAAACGGGACTGATATGAAGGCGATATGAAATCTACTTTGTTTTCTCCTGCAATCAGAAAATATATGTAGGATCCTAAGCAATTGGTTTATTATTTGTGGCCCCATTTTACTGGTTTCATACCATTAGAACGGGCGATACCATAATAACTGTCATAATTATTATTACTACACCTCATAAATATTCATGATCAAATTGGAGCGCGTCATTGGCCGATTCCGCCGCGCGTCCGGGTAGTAAAAATGATACGCGCCCAGGTGACGTCATCTCGGTGAGTATCCAGCTAGTCTGGTTCTTAGGTCTGAATCTTAGGTCCGGTAGCCTCCGGTAATACATTGTATTACAATTTACGTCAAGTGACTAAAACGGGAGGAATTCCTCCTTTTTCCGAAAATTTCCGAAGTTTGCCGAAATCGTTTCGTCGACAATCAGATAGTGCCCGAATATTTCCGAGTATAATATAGGTTTAATTAACTGCTAATTGCTTATTAATTTTTTTTAAAATGAGTTAATAATTAATATTCATTGCTTTCATTTAGAAAACTTGAAATTCAACGACGATTTTGTGCAACAAATATAGTCGGATCGTATGGGCGAACTATTTGCTGCGTCATGTACAATTTTGAATTTGACGACCGTTACCGAGATTTTTCAAAACTCGGTCTTCATTCGGCTCCGCCTGCTAACAGTGCTATTTTGGTGCCTAAATTTGAAGATTCCAGATCAACATTAGTCAATATTATCTTACAGAAACATCAAACTGTATTATCATAACTGTATGATATTACGAAGCAAGTGATTTATTTACAAATTTGATCAGAACATTAAAAGCTAAAAGTGATAAAGCGAAATCGGAAACGAAGCCGAGCTTTGAAACAGGCCCATCAATGTCGTCATGTTTATTTTTAGCCACGGAGGCTGCCTGACCTCAACCTCGTTCCCAGGGTGTCGAGCAGTACGCGCCCACCACTACCTGCTCTCTCACCCTGGTATTGGATCATTTGCATGTGCAAGATTTTTGAACACGTATGCAAATGAGGAACAGTCTGGTGCCTGGATATGCGTTACACATTAGCGTTTGTTTTTGAATGCGGTGTCTGGGGTAAAAACAGAGTCAATTCGTAGCAGCGCGAGCACGGCGTGAGTGACGAAAACACGATTTTTGAAATCAAACTGTTACGATCTTATCGAGACAACATGCAGTATCATATTTCATATTAATATGAGCAAATTGGAAAGGAAATTAGTATTTTCGAGAAGGCGTGGACGAATGATCGCGAAAACACGTACTGCACGTTGTGAATAATAGCACCAAGTACACGATAAAAATCCATTACTAGCCAATTGCGGTATCCAATCAGGATACAGGAAGAAAGTTTCCTATCCAGGGTTTACTATTGGAAACGCGGTTGGAAATAAAGTAAGCACTGGGGACGAGGTTGGCCTGACCTAAGATTCATCAGGAATAGTCAGAATCTTTTGGTCTGGGAACCAGACTAGTATCCAGCCTGATGTCGTGCGGTAGTTTTTTTTTTCTGGTAGCACCAAAAATTCCCTTTGGAACCCGCCTTGTTGACATGTGGTCTATGGCATGTAATCTTTACTGAACCAGTCTGTTGTTGTAATCCTTGTTACTACTGCAGTAAAGACACATTAAAGAGTGTTGGCACCAGACTATTTCATACTGTGACGAAGAACTTGAATTGTGCTTAATAAATATGTAAAATCTAGGAACACCGTTATCGACAAGGCAGTGAGGCTACTAAAAAGACAGTGAGGCTACTAAATATTTATGAGGTGTAGTAAAACAAATACAGCATGGTTTGAGGGGAAATAGTTGGAATTACTGGTCCCTCGGTATAGGTCAGCTTGACTACCTCCCTCCGCTTCGCGTCGGGAAGTAGTCTACTTCCCCTCAAACCATGTTGTATTTGTATATTACCGATAATAGGTCACCAGGGAGACATTCCCATAGACTTGTGCACAACTATTAATGAATTATTTATTTATTATTTTATTGTGTAAAAAATGTAGTGTTCCCTAATGAAATATATGTTCCTGCTATACTATGGAGGACAAAAAGTGGCCAGATGCTTTCCTGCTTTCGGAGGACCATGCCGATTGAACGTTTTGGTTACGACCATTTTTTTCTGCACTTCTGATCTTATAGTGGCTAAAATAAGACTGAACCAAATTCACTAAGGCCCACCCTATACATGTATAAAAACGAAAGATTTCGAAGTTTTATTGGAAATCTATGGTAGTGTACCTTTGTTTAATTCCTTTGAGGGGCCGCCGGCACAGTCGTGCGAAAACACTAAGTTTCAGTATGCATACGTGGTTGATGAAAACACTTTTATATTGTTTGCTGAGCATGATTCATGCTCTTGTTATTGTTACTTTTACCCATCACACGAGAGTTGAGTACTCACGTACCTTCATAATAATATTCAAGCGTGATGCACGTACATTTACGATTGTTCGGACTTTCTTCTGTTACTGCATAAGCATACCTGATGTGTCCCGAACCAAGTCGGTCCTGCCTGAATCAATTAGAGCCTTCTCCAACGTCAGTCTTGCTTCTGTGTAATTTTCCTGTTTTCTCCACCATGTGCTTAACATCTCAAAGCACTGCCTTACAATATCCTTGGAATGATTAGCCTTAATAATATCATTTTGTTCTTTGCAAAATGTCAAGTTTAAGGCCAATTTTTCCCAGTGTATTCCAATCTTGAAGGACAGATTCCAAACGGAAATGTCCCCAGGTAGAGTATCTATCATTGAATGAAATGTAATCGCACCATTAATAAACCGTGTGCAGATTATTTGTTAGAATAATACATTGGGAATGATTGCGTTAACATTGGAGAATATCCCTAAAAGTACCCTGGGTGTAACCCTACAGGCACAAAATGTACCTGTAAATACAATCTTTATGCTATCGTACGAATGGAATTATTCTTCAGTATTTTCTTTTGATATTATTAGTTTGTGGCATTAAGTATGCGTATCCATCGCGTTTTGTTGCCGAATTTTTTTTTTAGATAAATAGATGTTTTAGTTTTTATTTCTGAACATCTCTTTTCTAGCGATAAAATATGTTTACTTTTACTTTTCATTTTTAAATGAGTCATCGAAAGAATCCCACTTATATGAAGACAATAATTACTTTACTCATTTTAATGCATATTTAACTATTATAATGGCATGCGTCAGTTATTAACAGAATGGTTGTAAGACTTCACCTTTCCTTTTGAAAATAATTTCAAGAGCCAACAATCAGGGAAAATGCAATGTATAATTTATTTCACCGAAAAGTTGGACTTGATACATCAAAATATCAAAACGAAAATTCCATTTGGGGACAAAAAGAAAAATGTTAAACTTCCTGGACAACATGCAATTTTCCGACCACTGGCCAAGCAGTTGCCGAAATGATGCCATGGTGTTTGTGGTGGACTCTGAACTATACGAAATTATTTCAAATCACGCTATATTAATTCAATTGCGTGATACTATCAAGCAATACTAGTCCACAGAAGAGAAATTTGTTTCCCACCTCATTTCTCTCTCGACAATGCTAACTCGCAGACCGGATACGTTCATATGAAAAAGGAATCCAAAGTCAGTGCATCTTAGGGAGATTTGCAGTCAAATTCTAGAATTTGAAAATTTTTTGGGACATAATAACAACAACATATTCGTTGAGGAGCATAGAGAGTTCATTTTGAAAACGATTTTATATTTCATAATATGAGGAGAAAGATTAAAGAAATTTTTGAAATTGATTGTATAATTATTTACCTGATCTGCTTTCTGTCTCATCAGTCATCCAAGGCTTAGCTTGAACTTTCCGTCTCAGTTTCTGTCCCTCAGATGATGAAGTTCCTTTCAGCTTGCTATGTTCTTGAGCCCCTCCAACTTGAACCACTGGTTCATTTTTGTCACGATGAGCAACTTCCTCTTGTCCCGATCGCTTTCCCTTAGATGATGCAATCCCTTTCTGCCTGCTCCGTTGTTTCTTAGTCCCTTCCATTTGCACCGCTGTCTTAGGTTTGACTAGATAAGCAACTGCCTCATTTCTCGGCCTCTGTCCCCTAGATGATGTAGTCCCTTTCTGCTTTCTCCGTTTTTTAGACAGTCCAACTTGTACCTCTGTTTCAGGCTTGTCTTCATGACCAACTTCCTCCTGTCTCGGTTTCTGTTCCTCAGAGGAAGATGTAATTTTCCTCTTTTTCCGTTTGTCTTTATAACCAACTTCCTTGTGTCTTGGTCTCTGTTCCTTAACTGATGTAGTATCTTTCTGCTTGCTCTGTTCTTCAGCCATTTCCACTTGTAGCTCTGGCTGAGGTTTGTCTCGAAGACCAATTTCCGCCTGTCTAGGTCTCTGTTCCTCAGATGTTGAAGCCTCTTTCTGCTTTCTCCGTTTTTTAGTCTGTCCAACATGTACCTCTGGTTGAGGTTTGTCTCCATGACCAATATCTTCCTGTCTAGGTCTCTGTCCCACAGATGTTAACGTCCCTTTCTGCTTTTTACGTTTTAGAACCCGTCCAACTTGTACCTCTGTCTCAGGATCGTCTCGATGACCAACTTCCTCCTCTCTCGGTTTCTGTTCCTCAGATGTTGATGACCTTCTCCTCTTTTTCCTTTTTTTAGCCCGTCCCACTTGCATCTCCAGATCACGTTTGTCTTGATTACCATCTTCCTTGTGTCTCGGTCTTGTGTCTTCCTTGTGTCTCTTTTCCTTGCTCTGTTCTTCAGCCCTTCCCACTTGTACCCCTGGCTGAAGTTTTTCTAGATGAGCAATTTCCTCCTTTCTAGGTCTGTGTTCCTCAGATGTTGAAGCCCCTTTCTGCTTTCTCCGTTTTTTATCCTGTCCAACCTGTACCCCCATTCCGGGTTCGTCTTCAGGACCAACTTCCTCCTGTCTAGGTCTCTGTTGCTCAGATGTTGAAGCCCTTTTCTGCTTTCTCCGTTTTTTAGTGCGTCCAACTTGTACCTCTGTACCAGGTTTGTCTTCAGGGCCAACTTCTTTCTGTCTAGGTCTCTGTTGCTCAGATGTTGAAGCCTGTTTCTGTTTTCCCCGTTTTTTATCCCGTCCAACTTGTACCTCTATTTCAGGTTTGTCTTCAGGACCAACTTCCTCCTGTCTAGGTCTCTGTTGCTCAGATGTTGAATCCCTTTTCTGCTTTCTCCGTTTTTTATCCCGTCCTACTTGAACCTCTGTTTCAGGTTTGTCTTCAGGGCCAACTTCTTTCTGTCTAGGTCTCTGTTGCTCAGATGTTGAAGCCATTTTCTGTTTTCCCCGTTTCTTATCCCGTCCAACTTGTACCTCTATTTCGGGTTTGTCTTCAGGACCAACTTCCTCCTGTCTAGGTCTCTGTTGCTCAGATGTTGAATCCCTTTTCTGCTTTCTTCGTTTTTTATCCCGTCCTACTTGTACCTCTGTTTCAGGTTTGTCTTCAGGACCAACTTCCTCCTGTCTAGGTCTCTGTTGCTCAGATGTTGAAGCCATTTTCTGCTTTCTCCGTTTTTTATCCCGCCCAACTTGTACCTCTATTTCGGGTTGGTCTTCAGGACCAACTTCCTCCTGTCTAGGTCTCTGTTGCTCAGATGTTGAAGCCCTTTTCTGCTTTCTCCGTTTTTTATCCCCTCCAACTTGTACCTTTGTTTTAGGTTTGTCTTCAGGACCAACTTCCTCCTGTCTAGGTCTCTGTTGCTCAGATGTTGAAGCCCTTTTCTGCTTTCTCCGTTTTTTATCCCCTCCAACTTGTACCTCCGTTTCAGGTTTGTCTTCAGGACCAACTTCCTCCTGTCTAGGTCTCTGTTGCTCAGATGTTGTATCTCTTTTCTGCTTTCTCCGTTTTTTATCCCGTCTTACTTGTACCTCTGTTTCAGGTTTGTCTTCAGGACCAACTTCCTCCTGTCTAGGTCTCTGTTGCTCAGATGTTGAAGCCCTTTTCTGCTTTCTCCGTTTTTTATCCCCTCCAACTTGTACCTCTGTTTCAGGTTTGTCTTCAGGACCAACGTCCTCCTGTCTAGGTCTCTGTTGCTCATCTGTTGAAGCCCTTTTCTGCTTTCTCCGTTTTTTAGCACGTCCTACTTGTACCTCTGTTTCAGGTTTGTCTCGATGACCAACTGCTCTCAGTCTCAAGCTCTGGTTTTGCTCCTCAGATGTTGCAGCCCTTTTCCTCTTTTTACTTTTTTTAGCACGTTCCACTTGCATCTCGAGTTCAGGACTGTCTTGATGACCAACTTCCTCCTGACTTGTCTGTATTTGTTCCTCAGATAATGTAGAGGTGATCCCACGGTGTGTGGGCTGTTCTTTAGCCCCTGTCACCTGAATTTCTTGTTGAGGTTTTTCTCGATGACATTGTAACTGTTCATGCCTTGGTTCGTGTTCCTCAGATGACTTCATCCCCTTTGGGGTGTTCCTATCAATTTCTCGTTGTTTGTGCTTTTCTTGTGGAAGCTCTTGACTCGGTCTCTGTTTCTCATTAGATGGTCTTGTCTGATCATCAACAGGGTGTTTGCCTGCTTAACAAAATGAAGGCTTTTCGTCAGTATATAATTATAACTATAGTTATTGGTTGCTGCCTTTTCGGATTGTAAGGCAATGACCATTAGGCATTACATGTACTTGCGTTAAAGAAAAGGCAAATAATCAATCTGATGTCCTTAAGATGAGGCAGGGTAGCACATTATTTAGACTGCAATTATTGTGCCATTGCTAGTCATAAGGCTTACAAAAGGTTGAACGCCAGGGCCTTGATTATGTTTAAATAATTTCACGTTCTAGGAGGCTTTAGCAAAGGTTGCTTAGGTCGTTTCTTTTTCGGACACGAAGCTAGTTAGAGAGGTGGATGTGGCATCGCAAGCTAAATAATGAGCGTATATAAGCCCGTAGGTTATTCTCTACCGTGAAGGTAATGTTTTCCATAAGCATTCACCTTTTGGTCCACCGCCCAGTAGGCCATCAGTACACAGACGGAGTGAGATGTTCTCGTCCTGATGAATTCCACAGTCGTGAAGTGTCAGCAAATTACTTAGCTGAAAAAAAATTGTACGATCCCTGATATAATACTTATTATGTGGAAAGGTTTTAAAAATTACAGTTTAATAATAGGAAAATGCGGGTATACAAAAAAATCATGACGAATATGGGTAACTTTTATTTCCGTGGTGCATGTCGGGACCCATTAGCTGGGCCCTCCTATTCATATTTTGATTTGCGCATGTTTAGCCCTATTTCATTGACACCCGCGCGTCTATTCTATGCATTAATTCGTAAATGATTTCTATTTTTAATTAGAATGTTTTATTCGGTCTCCCTCAGAGCGATTTAAGATCTTTAAGGAGGTGACAATGACTTAGTCATTGTTCTTACTGCTGCTGCATTGTTTTATCATCAGTCACCACTTTCGAGTTTTTAACATCTCTAATCTCAGGTAGGCCTTTATATTTTGATGAAGTGTTTATATTTTGATGAAATGTACGCATATTTGTAATTTAAATGATTTGTTTAAGAATGGAATGGCTATTTACAATTCGCAACGTTTACTAAATACTATTTTGCTGGTTTTGGGAGTGAAGGTCTTATTGACGTGACGTAGGAAGCGCAAGTGATATTTGTAAATTGATATGCGTTTCTCGATAGTCGTATGGACGAAGAAACTTGTTAGGTAACATATGTTTTGTTGCTAATTATTTTATACTGTTTTGAAAATAATAGGTTTTTGGGGGTTAGTTATAGTTCCGAGGGCGAAATAAGATCTTTAGGTGGTGACAAGTCAATTTTCTTACTGCCGTCATATTGTGTATCATCAGTAACCTGCGAGTTTTTGACATCCCCCATTTCATATCATCGTTCGAGGGGAACCAAAGGGGAATTCCCCCTTCCCCGAATCAGACATTGTCTGATCCGACGTACAGTCTGTACGTGGTCACCGAGCAAAGGTATCAGCTAGACGATTAATCGTTACCGGACAGGGAGGCATGGCCAAGTTTGATCAGACGACCCAGCAGAGTCACTGGACGGAGCCTCGCCACCGTCATACGTTGGAGAGCTGCGCCCCTCGGATGTTTCCGCAGTAATTTTCATGATCAATTAGTTTTTGAATATTGTATAATTCCAGCGATTAGTATGCCTTAAAGATGGATTCATTTGTTTCCTAAAACTCCGTTCTATACAGGCCTACTTGATCAACAACTTGGAGCAGAGAATGATCTCATTGGCATTTGTTAAATTATAATTTCTTTGATTCTACGCAAATATATTGTTCCGTGGTTGATTCTCTTGAGTACATTCGGATGGTGCCTCCATTTTGTCGTAGGTCAACCTATTATTAACATTTACGGGTAAACCCGGCTGATTCGTGGATACAGAAAAATGGTAAAAGATGTACGTAGAATCAAAGAAAGTATACTATAACAATTGCTCATATAAAGACAGGGTGATAACAATGAGATCATTCTCTGCTCCAAGTTGTTCATTAAGTACAGAACGGAGTTTTAGGAAACTAATCAATACATTCTATACAAAAACTAATATATCATGAAAATTACTGCGAAAACATCCGAGGGGCGCTCGTCAACGTATGACGGTGGCGACGCTCCGTCCAGTGACTCTGCTGGGTCGTCCGATCTAACTTTGCGATGACTCCCCGTCCGGTAGCGATTAATCGTCTATAGATACCAATGCTCGGTGACCACGTACAAACTGTACGTCAGATCAGATAATATCTTCGGGGAAGAGGGAATTAAGTCGGGGAAGCGAACCGGGTCGGTTCCTCTTTGCGATGATATGAATTAAGTCTTATTCTATTAAAAATCGAAGATGGTGACTAATTATAGGCCTAAACAGTATGACGGCATAAAATTGACTTTTCACTAAAATTGGGATAACGAAACGCGGGTATAAAAATATCATTTAGCACAAATGTAACATTCTGTCCATAGTGCATTTTTACCGTGAGACTAAATTGGTATACAAACCGATAACTATTTTTTTTTTTATTATCGTTTATTGTTTAGTGAACTGAAGTTTTAAAACACTATTGTACTGACATCAGAAGCTGCACTATTTAAATATACCCTCATTAAATTTTGAAACGGAAGAGGTTATCACTAAAACCCAAAAGAAATTGCCTTCAATTCGATGAAATGTTGATTGGTATATAGTTTCCAACATGGTCACTTCGTACAAAATGGAGCCATCTTTACCTCAAAGTTACGAAAGTTTCTTCGGATGTACAATCGCTGTTGTTGAGGTTGGACACCAATCTTCTTGTCTATCATCTCTTTTAACGTCAAGACGGATGTTTCTCGATCCACTTGGAAACAAAGCGTCTTAGGTTTGTGTAACACGTGACTTTGGAGAAAGACCTGCAGCCTCTGTGTCACATACCTAAAACTGTAGGAAAGGAGGTTTTGCATTTTTCAGGGTTAACATATAGTTTTAATGGACATTTTACAGTAAATGAATGAAGGTAAATACCATGATTTACTCTGAAAAACATAACCTACACCATAATTAAAGTGGGAGCAGTTCGTTTTCCGAGGGTGTTCAGTTATAATTATACGCTAAGATAATTCCTAAAACAAGAGGTGCAGTACGAATTTTTAGCAGTAAACCATGTTTTACCTGATAAGCTGAGGTTTGTCTTGATCACCAACTTGTTCCTTTTTCAGTTTCTCTTCCTCGGTTGATGCCGCCCCGTTTTGTTTGCTCTCCTCGTCAACTCCTGCATCTTGACGCCTTTCTGGCTCGGGTCCAGCTGCTTCGTCTCTCGATTCGCTCGTTACTGGTGCAACAAGGAAAACGAAGTACATTATACCGTTTACAAATTGTTTGAACTAATTTCTTAACATTTTCTATACAATTAAAAAAGAAGTTTTTTTAATAGCTTATTTGTTGTTTAATTAGTGTGCTACTAAACATGTACATGTATTATTTGTACTGAACATTAAGCGTCTCGTATAAGTCTAGTCTTCATTTCATGTTTTAGCTCACCTGGTACATTTTTAGCCAAATCAGTCAACCCGATGGCCTCCATTGCTCGTCTTAGCTTCTGAGCTGCTTCGTCGCGATCTGGCGTCTTTTTCCACCAAGTGAGTAACATGTGACGGCTCTGTTCAGTGCTGCCTTCGTTGGTGGTTTGGATGTCTGCAATTTCTGCTTTTTCATATCCTAGATGTTTAGCTACTTCCTTCCACGATGATTCGATTTTCGAGGACAAGTCCTTGAGATACTCGTCATCATTTTTGGCTTTGTCTGTCAAAAGAATGTTCAACTGATCCTTCAGTGAAACATTTTCAAGTGTGTCCACTACCGTATAATCAACGTACCAGTTAACATATTAACTACAACTATAACAAAAAGACGCTCTCTTTTTGTTATTATTAACTCAAAATATAGAGAAGAGATCTACATAGGAGGCATTTAATTCACTTGAACATTCTATTCCTAACCTCCGTCATTTACCTTTTGTTACATCGTCGTTATCCTGATCTTCTGTTGATAGATGGAGATAGATAATTTCATCTTTTTCGACACCGTTGTCCTCAAGTGTGAGCAAGTCACAGATCTAACACAAGTTAAATATGTAAAATAGATACTGAGGATAACAAAGTGAGACTACAAAAATAGCTTCTTTTAGCCTGTGTTTTAGTATGGATTACTTGTGATATTTCTTTTATACAGGTATGTCATAAATAGACAATTTATTGATACAATCTAAAAAATTTGGGATTTTGTTTCTTGCATATTCATTTTCAAAATTCATATATGCACAAGTCTAATGTTTTGAATCTTTCAAATTGAAGTGTCATTGTTTTAAAATAAAATATACCGACCTGAAAGTTTCTCTGGATGCACAAACGCTGATGCCGCGCCTCGACACCAATCTGCTTTTCAATGAGCTCTTTTAAAGATTGAACAGGTGTCCCTGGATCTAGTTGAAAGCTAAGCGTCTGTGCTGCGTCATCGTTGGTATTTTCGGGAATCCTGACAGAGATTTGAAGCTTCTGTTTCGGGTTACTGAGGGCACTGTAATCAAAAGATTGGAATACCATTTTTGATTAATTTAGTAAATCTCGGAATTTGGTTTCAGCAAAAACTACATTGGAAGTATTTCTTTGTTTTGTTCTGTCACAAAGATTCAATATATAACAGGGTTTAACCAAAATTATTATTGAAATGAAGACATATACGGGCATTTATTTTATACATGTATTGCATGACAATTTAAGTTTCGGTTTAACGTAGTAGTTGGGGGAAACATTTCATTTTCCTTCGCGTTGGCTTTTCCAACCAAAAAAAAAAAAGTTAAACATTCCAAAAATGATGCGGCCCACCCCGCTCAAGTTTTTGATTGGTTAAGCGTATTTGCTTTGAATGCATGTACTTGAACTCGTAATTATGAAGCACAGCTATAGAATTTTTTCCAAGTTTAAACAAACAATGGCTTTGGTACAATGTTGATTATCGCACAGAGATTCCGAAAAGAGAACAGTCAGCCAGCCTCGATGACTGCTATCAAATAAGTTGCGTGTATCTAAAGCTCAATATTTAGTAAGTGTCCAACTGTCCAGCGGTAACCTGTATTTCTGAACTCTGAAGCCATCTGCGAATGATCCGAATTCTGTAAGTTTATTTGGTTTAAAAGTGTATTTTGTGCCTAAATCTTTGGAATAACAGACACAAATATTTATCCGAATGATAAAACCGTTAAATTGTGCTTTTAAGAAAACAAGGGATTTCACAGCATACATAAAATATGGCTAGGAACTGAATTAGGTTGTGTCATTGTATAAAATACAGTACTGGATGGATCCTGCTTGCAGAGAACAAGGGTGGATCCGGGGTAAGGGCAATGGGGGGCATTCCCCCCCCCCCCCAAAAAAAAACACATTTGTGTTTACGTCGCAATAAAGGCAGGCACTGCGTTCACCGCCATCTTTTCCAAAAAATATTGTTAAAGTGGTCAGAAATTGCCTCAGATTCTACTACAGAGCATCTAGAACCCCAAGCCGTAATATTTTTAAACCCACTTTTTGGGGAATCAAACATTTCATGGACCCCTCCAATATTGTGTTCTGGATCTGCCCCTGGCAGTGAACATTGGTTGTATTACAAATGAAAACAATTGAAAGACATTTTGTGAATGAGTTGTTGATATTACTAAAACTATATTGTGAAATGTAGTATCACCTCCCATAGTGATTTTCTGAATGTTTGTCAGTCAGCGTATTGGTGCAATGCCGTAAATCTTCGCTGGTGATTTGGTGGATGGGGGATGACTACAAAAAATATTGGCACAGCCTTGGAAAAGCGTGGGGGGGGGGGGGGACACCACATAGCACTAGGGGCGCTGTCCAATAACATACGATGAACTTTTGAAGTGTGTTAATACGAGTTGCCCTCTACAAAAATAACTAAGTAAAATGTTGAGAGGAAACAGGGGTGCATGTAAATGAAGACTGGAGAGTGTAATAGTCAGAAATTGATTATGCATGTGAGCTCAGTTGGGCATTCGGTGCGTGTTACTAATTCTGAAGTGCTCGTGGACCTATTAGCAATGAATTGTGTTGCGTGATCAGGAGACAAATAATTCATGGTGTTTATTGATCAATCAGCATTGCGTATTGGGAAGGCTGTGCGCGAATTAGCATAGCGTGGGGTCGTGAGATCACCTAGCGAGTTCGCAAGATGGCGTCGATGCAGTAGGAACTAATTCTGGAGCTGTTGCAAGAAGCCAAGCTTCGGGGGTAGGGACGAGTGAATTCGCGGTGCCGTTGCTGGGAGTAGGAGCCCCCGGTCGGGAGTAGGAGCTCTCTGACGAAGACGCTCTGGTTCGGCCGGGTTCGGGAGTTGCAGCTCCGGGTTAGTTAACATTAAACCAAGTGTTATCTAATATATGGAAGTGGAGTTTTTATCTCCAGCCTATTTATTTAAGATAATTGTGTTCTCAGATTTAGAGGGATTTGAAGTGGGACGAAGGGTATTTAGTAGGTTTTGATGAGTGTGAGAACAAAAAGGGAGGAGTTGTGAATAACTGGTTGAAGGCTAGCGGGACTTTGAGTTGTGTGTGTAGTGACATGTACATGTGTATATAATTAATTGTTTGTACTTTTAGCTCCAACAGGCGTTCCATACAAATAAGTATGTTAATAATTTTTGGTTGCCAAAGGGACCGGAGTTCACTCTCGCTGTGCTGCGTTTGCGCAGTGTGACATGTTGGTGACCTCTGACTTATTCGTTTTCATTCTGCTTTGTGCAAGTCTTATTCCAAAGTTGAAAGTTTCCTCAACCAAGTTTTATTTAGTCAACTGATGTGTGCTTAAACCTACTGACGTTCCAGAAGTTTGTTAATCATTGGATAGCAGGTGCATGACGAACTTGTGGGTTTTGAGAGCATTAAAACTTGTAAACAACCATCATTTTGTGTGCCGTTTTTCACGACTTGTAAGAACAGACACGAGGCTTGATAAACAATAGTAGAACTCATTTCGGGAGAAAACACGAATTACTACACTGGTGACCCTGTTTTCAACAATTGTGCCCTTCTGCACAAGCCATGTCTGTGGAAGTTAAACCTGATGGGACAGAGGGTACACCGCCTCCAACTCCATCTCCCTCTTACCCATTTCAACCGCCTGTCATGCCGATGCAAGCTGCAGTAAGCCTCAAACTCCCTCCATTTTGGCCTAACGACCCAATCCTGTGGTTTACCCAGGTGGAGGCTCAGTTTGTCATCCGCCATATCACTACCCAGGAGACTCGTTTTGCCTACGTTATCGGATCTTTGCAACCGGAGGTCGCACAAGAGGTGCGGGATATCCTGATTACACCCCCATCCACGGACTGCTACGATAAGCTGAAATCTGAACTCATTCGCCGCACTTCAGCTTCTGAGCAGAAACGATTACACCAGCTGCTTACTTCAGAGGAATTGGGAGATCGCAAGCCCTCGCAGTTGTTGCGGCGCATGCACCAGCTTTTGGGGGACAACAAGCTGGAGGAGAGGATTTTGAAGCAGTTGTTTGTACAGCGACTTCCCCACACCGTCCAGTCCATTTTGGCCTCCACAGCGGACACGGTGGGAATTGGAGCACTGGCAGATTTGGCTGACAAAATTGTTGAGGTGTCTGCCCACTCTACGCCGGCATCGCAAATTTCCACGGTTTCTTCACCACCCCTCCACCCCCCGCAACGACACGCCTCCCCTGAGGTACTCACTCTGCACGCAAAGGTTGATGACCTGACTCGGCAAGTGCAGGCCTTAATGACTTTTCAGCTACAGGGCATGCATCGACAAGGCCGTCCCCGCTCTTCCTCCCGCAGTCGACCCAGACAACGTAGTCCAACCCCTTCTGCGGATAACCAGCCATCCGGCGACCGCCAATGCTGGTATCATTGGAAGTACGGAACTAATGCACGAAAATGCACCAGTCCTTGTTCGCGAAGCACAGAACCACAGCGGAACCAGGAAAACGGCCAAGCCAACGACTAGCGGCGACAGGTCGGTCTGGCAGCAATACAACAAGTCGCCTCTTCCATGTAACTGACAAGACCACAGGCACTCGTTTCCTAGTTGACACCGGCGCTGAGGTGAGTGTTTTGCCACGCAGTCACAAGTCACGAGCTCAACCTACTTCTATACAGCTACAAGCGGTCAATCACTCACCTATTGTAACTTACGGCGAGAAGTCTCTGACTTTAGATTTGGGACTTCGCCGAGTATTCCGTTGGGTTTTTATTGTTGCCGACTTGCCAACCCCTATTATTGGAGCTGATTTTCTTCGGCAGTTCAACCTACTAGTCGATGTAAAGAACCAGCGGCTTGTCGATTCCATAACTAGTCTTACCATACAAGGAATAATGTCTGGTACCCCGTCCGCGAGCCCCGTGTTTGTGAATGCAGCTTTATCACAATACGACGAGCTCCTTAGCCGGTATCCCGACGTAGTGCGTCCTGTGTATAAGCAAACGGAGGTACGGCACAACATCACGCACCACATCGAAACTCATGGCCCCCCGGTTGCGGCTAGACCCCGTCGACTTGCCCCGGACAGACTACCACTTGCCAAGGCTGAGTTTGACCATATGCTTAGCCTTGGAATTGTTCGCCCTTCCAGTAGCGAATGGTCCTCTCCGTTGCACATGATGCCTAAGTCAACTCCCGGGGATTGGCGCCCGTTTGGTGATTACCGCGCCCTCAACAAGAACACCATTCCGGACTGCTACCCAATTCCACACCTGCAGGATTTTTCCTCCAACCTTCACGGGTGCACGCTGTTCTCCAAGATTGATTTGGTACGCGCCTACCATCAAATACCAGTGGAAAGTCTGTGCCGCAATGCGGCACAGACTTTCCAAAGGTTCGTCGACGAGGTAACCCGCGGTTTACCATTTGTCTTCGCCTACATTGACGATCTGCTGGTAGCGAGCTCATCAGAGGCTGAACACAAAGAACACCTTCGACTCCTGTTCGACCGCCTCTAGCAATATGGCATAGTCATAAACCCCCACAAATGCCAGTTCGGCGTGTCATCCCTCTCCTTCCTCGGTCATCTCGTCAACCAGCATGGAGTCTGTCCTTTGCCTGACAAGGTGCAAGTCATCAGAGATTTCCCGGAACCGGCATCGCTGAGTAAGTTGCGGGAATTTCTTGGCCTCATCAATTTCTACAGGCGTTTTGTTCCCCACTGCGCAGACATGCTCCAGCCCCTGACCGACCTGCTCAAGAACAGGAGGAAGAAAAACGAGCCGATTCAGTTAGGGCCGAACGAGCAGCTAGCTTTCGAGCGTGTGAAAGCTGCATTGGCCGACGCAACACTCCTAGTCCACCCACAGACTGACGCACCATTATGCCTCTTAGTCGACGCATCGGACAAGGCCGTGGGTGGTGTTCTCCAGCAACACGTCAAGGGTGTTTGGCAACCACTGTCGTTTTTCTCCAAGCGCCTCCAACCAGCGGAAACCCGCTACAGTACTTTTGGTAGAGAGCTTTTAGCTCTATACCTCGGCATCAAGTATTTCCGACA